AGGCGCAGGGCAGCCGTTCTGGCTCTGCACAGCTCCTGACAGGAGCCTGGAGCCAGGGGGGGGTCGGGCTCTGCTCCCAAGGGACAAGGGACAGGACAAGAGGAAACAGCCTCAAGTTGCCCCAGGGGAGGTTGAGGTTGTCCCTGAGGAACAATTTCTTGCCCTGGAGGGTTGCCCAGGGCTGTGCCAGGCTGCCCAGGGCAGTGGTGGAGTCCCCACCCCTGGAGGGGTTCCCAAGCTGTGGAGATGTGGGGTGAGGGACACGGGGCAGTGGGGACCTGGCCGTGCTGGGGTTAATGCTTCCACTCAATGATCTTAAAGGTCTCCTCCAACCAAAACAATTTAGTGATTCTATGATTCTAATGTCTGTTTTCAGGCACCCAGCTCACAAGCTTCACCCCACACTGCCAGTTCCAGCTGGCTCTGCACAGGCCAGGCCCATTCTGTGTCTGCTTCTCTCCCCTCTTCCAGAGCTAAGGCTGCAAATTATCAGTCAGGAGCAGAAGGGGCTGAAGACAACCTCAATTTTCCTCTGCCTTCCTCACCCCTTACAGCTCCAGCAGCACAGCACCAGGGCAGAGGAGCTGCAGGGGATTCACAGCACAAGGCTCCCAGAATGTCAGCAGCACCTTGTGTTGTGGTTCCATGGAGGAGGAACATCCCCCCAAAGCTCAGTGCTGCTTCTCTCCCAGCACTGAGACAGAGATAACAGGGATGTGGGAGGAAGGGCTGCTAAGGAGACCACAATTCAGGCTGCCATCAGAAGACAGAAGGAATAATGGCATCAGTCCCCCATGCTGAGCCATGGGCTTGTTGATCCTCTCTGGTGTGACTCCAGGCAAAGTGCTATCACCACCCCAAGATATGGTGACTTAGGACTAGAAACACCTGGAAATCAGAGCCCAATGGTTCTCAGAGGATCTTTGTGTTACAGTGCAACACCTCATCTGGCCTAGAAACTCCAGCTCCTGCTCCCTCTGACCTTCCCCAGCACCTTGCACCTTTAACATGCTGCCAAAACCAGAAGTGGGTCCATGCTAAGAACCTGCAGGAAATGGTGCCATGGGGTCACCTCTTGTGGAGCTCCCAGCTCCATCACCCACTGGGTAATCAACAGGCATCTACAGAACACAACACTGGGACTATCCCTGGAGGGGGCAAGAGAAGGTTCAGCATGTGCCCTGGCCTCCCACCAAACAGGCCCAAGGAGGGCTCCTTAACCCCTCCATGTTGTGTGTTCCTAAAGGAGAATTTTCACCCATCCCAGATGTGAAGAAGCCATCTATCAAACACCTACTGACAGCAACACAGAGGCTTTAAAAAACAGCTTGGAAGAAGAAAATAAACCCTGAACCAACAACAGTATTACTGGTGATGCAGGCAGGGAAGAAACAGCCAATGAGAATTCCTGCTTTGTGCTAAGACATGCCTAAAAACATAGAACTTCCTCTCACCTTGAAACATCTCAGCAAGGCCAAGACCTCAACACCAACTACTGAACTATGTTTAGATCAGAAAAATAAATTAACTGAAATCAGATGATTCACAGGAACTTACTGAGGACCACAGAGCTCTTAGTTTGGGGGTTTAACATGCAAAGAAATCCTGGTAATGTCCCAGATCCCAGAAGAACAGAAAAGCCTCCCCACCTCCAAAAGCAGTGTCTGAAATGTCACACGTGGCTGTGACAAGAGGGGCTCTGGTGCCACATACCTGGAGACCAGAACCTTGGCAGCTTTAGGTTTGCAGTTGGGCTCCATGATCTTAAAGCTCTCTTCCAACCTAAATGATTCTGTGATTATGTCAAAGGCTGAAGGCAACTGGGACAGGAGAAGGTGCACATGGGTCACACAGCTGAGCACTGACCAGCTGGGAGTTCCCTTTCTCTGGGGGAGCCCACAGGTGGAATCCACACTGGTAGACTAAGACCCACCACAGGGTCTCAGATCTCCCACACCTGAAGGACTCTGGTCTGACCCTGTGGCTGGTGCTGCTTAAGCAGCAGGTGGGACCAGAGGATGTCCTGGGGTGCATTCTGACCCCAGTGAGCCTCCAGCCCTACAACTCAGCCACACCTCTGCCTCTTCTTCTGGATGGCTGGTACTTGACCAAGGGATGGCCACAACTCCAGGTGGGCACACAGATAAACTGTCACTGGTCAGTACATGCTGAGCTGGGGCAGCACAAGGACTGACAACTGGTTAAACTGCTGGGCTCAGAACACTGAGATCAGGGGCAGGTCCAGCTGCAGCCCAGCCACCAGCAGATCTGCCAGGCATCCACGTGGGGGCCAACACCAATTAACCTCTTAATTAACAAGTGGGGCTGGGGGCAGAGACCCTCAGCAGGTCTGCAGATGACAGAACTGGGAGGGGAGGTTCATGCACCTGACTCTGGTGAACAGGAGGCACATGATATCATGGTGCTGTCACTCAGAGAGCTGAGCTGATGGACATTCAGCCTGACACAGGTCTCCTGCAGGTCACCAAGGGGCAGTGCAAAGGTCCCACCTGGGCAGGGACAGCCCCAGGCACCAGCACAGGAGGCTCAGGGACAACAGGCTGCAAGGTGACTGTGCAGAAGAGGGACCTGGGCATCCTGGAGCACAACCTGAACGTGAACCAACAATGGGCCCTTGCAGCCAGAATGGCCAACAGCACACTGGGCACTGTCAGGAGGAACACTGCTACCAGACTATGGAAATGACTCTCCCCCTCTTACCACTGCCACCACACCTGGAGGACAGTGTCCAGCTCAGGGCTCCCCAGACAGGGACACACCAGAGAGAGTCCAGCAAAGGGTCACAAGGATGAGTAAAGGTCTGGAGCATCTGTCACACAAAGAGAGGCTGTGAGAGGCAAGATTCTTTAGTCTGGAGTAGAGAAGACCTGGGACTGGGGAGGGAAGAGTGTATCTGTTCAGTACCTTCCTGCACCCCATGACATTCACCCAAGGAGAAGAAGGTCAGGACTGGATAACCCTACAGAACCAGGTACCTGCTGCACAGTGAGCTAGATGGAGCACTCACTGCAAGCCCTGGACAGCAGGTTCAAAAGCCTGGGACCCAGAGCTGCCAAAGCCAAGCTTCAGCAAAAGGAATTAGCAGAGCCCCAAGGAGTGCACACCCTTGGGCTGTGCAGCACTCCTGTAAACCTGTCAGGAAACCCAACTCCCAGTGTGTCCAGATACACCACTTCAAAATAACACAGCAGCATTTTATGATGACCTTTCAAAATAAGTTTCCATGCGAGTTAAAATAAGTTACAGACAAACAGTGTAAATTAACACAAGCTACCAAATCAGGAAATACTGGAGGTGCAAGAAGGGGCTTTTCTGGAAAGCTGCCTGGCTCCTCCAGGTTCCTGCTCCAAGAAGGAGAGAGACCTTGGGGTTTGGAGTGTCGCCAGCAAGGCCCAAGAGCAAGAAGATGGGCAAAACGAGCAGAAGGAGGCAGCCCCCAGCTCTGGCAGAAAGCTGGTGTGCCCAGCAGCACCAGGGCAGAGTGAAGCTGGGGGGGCACCCCAGGGCATGGCAAGGGGCTCCACGTGCTGCAGCCAGGGACTCTGCAGAACTGAACCTTCCTGGCCTTACGTGGCAAACTGTGAATGTGCCCCTTCATCAGAGGCCTCTTTTGAACAAGAACATAACATCATTCCTGGACACTCAGTGTATACAAGATGACCAAAGTATGTGACACTGAACACGAGCAGTCTGACATTAAAGGCCAGGAAAAAACAGAGTTTGAGGGAAATGAAGCTGCCAAAAAGTTGGGTTTGCAAGGCTCATAAACAAGGTAACAAAGCCACCCAAGAGGGCAGAGCAAAGCAGCTCGTGGTGCTCCAAGGAAGGATCTTGATACTGAGAGACTGATCCAGCAAGACTTAGTCTGACACAAACTGCAAGGCATCTGAGCAGCTCCAGAACACCTACATGGGACAGACACTGGGTCTACTAGCCCAGTAAACCAAAAACCAGTTAGATTCAGTGACTGCAGAGAAAGGAATTAGGTACATTTTTTGCAAAGAATTCATTCACTGTGGGATCCAACCAGCTGGGTTTTGAGAAATTTCATCCACCACATGGAATTTTTAAGGGATTTCAGATTCAAACCTCATTCTGAAAAGCTGAGCTACAGCTCAGGTGAAGAAAAGAATTCATCTTGGACTTCTCAAGAGGTGAAATCCTGCACCCCTGTGAAAACAGCCAAACTGGAGATCAGTGTCCCAGTGCATTCAGAGATGAGTGTTCTGGTCACTGAGAGCCTGTGTTGCTTTCCTGTGTTCACAGCAGCTCAGCAGATGGAGTCACAGGAACACCTCAGATCTTTTAGAACAGAACTTCTTCCTACTCACCTTGCATAAGCTATCACACAATTACCTGAGTTGAGTGAGATAACACAAGTCACCTTGCTACCAAACATCCAGGTACAGCAGCAAAGGTGGATCACCCACCATCTGCAGTGGCAACAGCCTTTGTTTTACACTTGTTCCACTGGCCAGAAGTGGCTCCAAGTCACAGTTCTGTCTGTCCTCTCCCAGCCTGACTGGCCATGGACTCATCTACAAGGCTGCCCTGCCATCCAGCCAGACCTGGGCAGGCTGGAGAGCTGAGCAGACAAACCTCATGAAGCTCAGCACAGGCAAGTGTAGAGTCCTGCCCCTGGGGAGGAACAACCCCATGGACCAGCACAGGTCAGGGGTGACCTGCTGGAAAGCAGCTCTGTGGAGAACCTGGAGTGCAGAGGGACAAGGCCACAATGAGCCAGCAACAGGTCCTCATGGCCAAGAAGGCCAATGGTCTCCTGGGTTCTGATCAATGCTGAGCAAGAGCTAAAGGGCCCCGGGGGGCAAGAGGCTGGGGCCAGACTCTGCTCAGTGGTGCCCAGTGACAGGACAAGGGGCAACAGGCACCAACTGGAACCCAGGAGGTGCCACCTGAGCAGGAGGAGAAACTTCTCTGCTGGGAGGGTGCAGAGCCTGGAGCAGCTGCCCAGAGAGGCTGTGGAGTCTCCTGCTCTGGAGAGATCCCAAACCTGCCTGGCTTTGACCCTGGGCACCCTGCTGTGGGGGAGCTGCTGGAGTAGAGGGGTTGGATGAGATGATCCCCAGAGGTCCCTCCTAAACCCCACCACCAGTGGTTCTGTGACAGCAGTGTTCTGGTTAAAAACCCCAATGCACCAGAGCAGTTGACCTGTGTGCACAGTCCAGGGCAGCATGAGGACTCCCTGTCTACAGCATCAGAGGTATGCAGCCCCAGGGCAGTGCTGTGAACAGGGCTGGGGAAAGCACTTCCACCCATGCTCCAGATTCAGAACTGCCCATCACCTACACAGCCTTCACCTTCAGCTTTGAAAAGAACCAACACTTAAGGTCAAAGCAGCAAAAGAAAACGCCCTGTGTCAGAAGAAGGAATCCATTGTCAGGGGTAAGTGAAAGGGCCTGCAGTGGAGCCAGGCAGTCCCCAAGGCCAGCACCCCTTAAATACATCTAATACATGTGAGCAATGACTTACTGACTTGCCTGTAGGCATGGAATTAAAAGCCAAGGAAGAAGAGGAAAAAGTAATCTAGATAAATGACTTTATTCCCCGAGGTGACATCCAGTCAGAGCCTATCCTCAGAGCTGAGCAAGTTTTAACAGAATTGGGAGCAGTGAACAGAGGGGGACACGACTTGTATGCTGCTAGACCACATGCCTCTCAGCTTATGCTCAGCCTCTCCTAGGAAGATCTAAGGGCAGCTCACTCAGCTGCACTAAATCCCTCTGAGGTGAAGGGTGGGTGTGGGGGGCAGGGCCCGGGTGGGTGCTGAGGTGCCAGTGCTGAGGGTCTGGGCACAGCTTGTCCCTCCCTGCCAGCAGGACCTGCTGCCCAGCACCAGCCCCACCACGGGCCAGGGCTGAGGAGGGGGTGAGGCTACACATTTCTAACCTCTGCAATTATTTTCCTTAAAGTGCTGAAAGTGGAAAATAAAGAGAGGAGCAGCTGAAGGGCCTGACAGATTTATCTTCTTCGGGGAGGGAGCACATACACCTGCACAGGCACCTTTCTCTGGAAAAAAACCACAAAACCCTCAGCGATTGCTATCTGCAGTCCTAACCTGCTGGGTGTAGAGCAGAAATTTCATGAAAGGTAAGTTAATCCCACCCCTCCTGCTGCCAGATGCTCCTCTCTGAAGTGCAGCTCTAAACAGCCCATAGGCACGGTGCCTTTCAAAGCTCTCTCCATGGACCAAGACCTGATGGTTTCTTTGTTCAGAAAATGTCTTCATACTTGAGCTCTTTCTCAATTAAATTGATTCCACGGCTCCCACTGTGCAGGTAAAGTAGGAGCCTGCAGAGAAGTGGGAACCTCTACAAGTGCTCTGTTTCCCCTGGTCCTCCCTGGCCCAGAAACATCCTTACCTGCAAGGACATCTCAATCAGCATCAGCAGCTTCTTGATCCCAATCCAGACCGTCTTCCCCTTGACGCTCTGCGCGATCGCGCTGCGCTCCTTGTCCTTGAAGTTCCCCAGGAGCTGGGGAGGAAATCAAATTTAAAACATCAGCCAGAGGAGACTGGCAGCATGAACAGTGCTGCTCAGCTCAGGGCAAGGGGCTGAGGCTGGAAGGTGTTTTCTAGCTCAGAAGGGGAATTTGTTGCCATATAGACAAGGCAAACCCCCAGACGCTTCTCCTAACGCCTCTGATGGAACAGTTGGTGATTCCCTTCTCTGATCCACTCTGGGTTTTCTCCAGACTGGAGTCTGGAAGGAATGCAGAGACTCAAGCCACAGTCTGTTCCCAAAGCTGCTGCAAGAGTGTCTGTGTCTTCCAGGCTTTGGTGGTATCATCACTGTGACCATTCTGCAAGTCTGCACAAAAGATTTGTTTTTGCAGCCTTCAATATTCGCCACAGTTTCCACTATGGCATCAAATAAGAGGCCATTAAGGGCATGAATTTATAAAGAAGCTATAATCTTTTCAGCACCAAACACCTTCATTTCATGTTGTTCCAATTCATGAGAGCTTGGCTCCCTCCAGGCACATCCAGTTTAAGTGCCTTGATTATATTCATTACTCACTTCCATGCCCTTGGAATCTTTCCATCCACTCCACAAACTTTTTCCTAGACCTTCCGTTCACTATTTTGCCTTAATTTATTGTGTGAAAAAGTAATTTGGAGAAGGTTTAGAACTGTTATGATGTAATGTTAAGGGGGACACTGTTCCCACATGCAGAACTACTGCAAAAATCACTCATTCCCAGCAAATCTTGAGCTGGTTTGTCATCCTTGAACTTTTTCTCACCTCCAAAGCCTCCATCAGCTGCTCCCCTGTTGCAATGTTGGGCACGTGGATGGTAGTGCTGAAGGCATTCAGCATTTCCATCTCCTGCAGGACATCTTTGCGACTGGTGGTCCCAATGATGAGCAGCTTGCGACCCTGTCACACCATGGAGCAAGTGTTAGGAAAGGAAAATCAGAAGAAGAGAGGAGAAGCAGCCTTGGGAAGCTTCAGCTAACTAGAAACTAAAACCAGAAAACGGCCACGTAAAAACAGCACTTAAAATAAAGTGAACAGGATTCAATCTCTCAGGGGCTGTAGCAGTCAGCATCAACCAGACTAGACTAGGACCAGATTCCACAGGTCAGCAAATGCCACCAATGGGGTCCAAAAATGATGGTACACAGAAGAGCCACCCATGCTCACAGCTTTCCTGCCTTACCTTTCCTTCTCAATTCACCACCAGCAACGGCTGAACCTTCATTAAATCCACAAGCATGAGCAACCCCCCACTCCCAAAAGCTGAAGCTGAGGACTCCTAGGGGCAAGAGCCCATCTTTTGAGATCCTGTGGGCACAGTGAATTCCCTAGCCCTGAACAGACCGATTCCAGTGGGTTCCAGCTCAGGCTTTAGGAGGGGAGGTTGCTGTCAGCTCATCAGATTTCCCATCACCAGTGTGGTTGTAGAAAAGGGCAGCTCCAGAGTTCAAACCAACAGTGCACACACCAGCTCCAAGCTGGCCTGAGCAATAACAGGGTTTATGAATAATAGAGCAACGATGGAAAACACCCACTGCCAATAACAATCCCCTCCTGGGAAGGCCTCTTCAGTGCCACTGGAGTTCCACCACGGAGCTCGGACACCGAGGAACGTTGGCTGATGGGAGGAGCTGTTGGGTTATCAGCCAGGACCAGTCCCTCCCCCAGGCCTGGCTGGCCAAGATCCTCCCATCTGCTGCACACAAGTTTAGCTGATGGGCAGACACAAGGAACAAAGTTCTGTATGTCAACTTTGGGACACAAAACTCTCTTCATCATTATAAAAAGCCAAACCAAAACCTCACAACTCTCCCCACAGAGTAGCCAGGATTGATTTTGTAAGTGCTCTGCACTCCATTGACAAAGGATGAAAACCTGTTTAAACTTAGTATGTCTTTGATGGAGCCTATCAGAAAGCTGAGGAGACTTTTGAGCAGTGCCTGTTGGAACAGGACCAGGGGGGATGAGTTTAAACTCAAAGAGGGAGATTTAGACTAGAGAGAAGAGATGTTTGACACTGAGGGTGCTGAGCCCCTGGCCCAGGCTGCCCAGAGAGGTGGTCGCTGCCCCATCCCTGGAACCATCCCAGGGGAGGTTGGCCGGGGCTCTGAGCACCCTGCTCTAGCTGGGGGTGTCCCTGTCCCTGCAGGGGGTTGGACTAGGTGACCTTGAGAGGTCCCTTCCCTCCCAAACCAGCCCATGATTCTATGACTGATGATGTTCTTCAGAGTATTTGTTTCTTTCTCCCAGGTGCCACTGCACTCCCTGGCTTTCTGTGCTTGATGGGATTACTCTCCTGCTTTGGGTGATGGACAGTGGGAAAGGAGCAGGACTGGTGAGGAACTCAGGTGCTCACTCCAGGTCTGTCTGTAGCCTCAGAGAGCACAAGGCAGGAAGAGCTGGCAGGCTGAATCCAGAGCGTTCCCCAGGTCATGAGCTTGACATGAAGGCTCAGCCAGGGAACACTGTGATAACCCCTCAGAGCACTGACCATCATCTGCATCTCAGGGGGCACCACACGCACCAGCTCAGCCACCTCTCACCTCCTCAGAGGGGGAAACCCCCAAAAAACCCCTTTTAATGGGGAAGAGCAGCCAGCTCCTGGGCTGAGGACAGAAAGAGCAGGACAGAACTGCAGTGGGAGCAGGGAGCTTCCCAGCTGCACAGACCTCACCTGCTGGTGGCACACAGCAAGCAGAGAGAGGTCCCAGTGTCCAGCAGTGTCTGGAGGCAGCCCTGAGGAGGGCACCTAACGTCCACAGACAGCACAAATGCAGCTGCTCTGCAGGCTGCTGCTTCCACTGTGCCCTGCACGTCCCCAGCTCTACAGCTGCACATGGTTTGATTCCTTTTTGATGGTCGTTGTGTAACAAGGTCAGGAAAATATTTTATCATTTTACAAGATTGAGCACAATCTGAGCAATTCAGTAAGATCTTGTGTGCCAAGCCAAAAAACCAATGCACTTGGTGAAGAGTAAGCATTGGATCCTCTCTCCTGCCAGGACTTCAGAAAGCCCCATCAGATGCTCATTTTCAGCTAAAGCACTTAATAGACCAGGAAAAATAAACGATGCTTGGCAACAGAAAAGCTTTTTGCCCACACGAAGACAAAATTCAGTGGTTTTCATCTTTGGAAGGGGTTGGTAAAACTTGACTTTAAACACAGGCTTGGAAGCCAGCTGAAATGAGCCCCCAGGGACACCTGAACCATCCCCTGCTTCTGAGCCACAGAAGACACGTGCTCTGAAGGTACCACCCAAGGACAAGGTTAAAAGGGGCCTTCAGCTTGTGAGGTGCACTTGGGCTAGCAGCACAGGCAGCAGCAGAGCTGGCGAGTGCTGAGAATCTTCACAAGGCAGAGAGAAGGAAATCGAGCAGATTTCGCCCCGATCCTGATCTCTGCTTTGCTTTCACACTTGCTCTGTATTTCCTCCACATGCTGTCCTCAGCGAGGCTTTGTTCAGTTCATAAATAATGCTGCTACATCATATACAGCTGATAGGATATATCCTAGAACTCAGTAGAAAGAATAAGCCCTGTAAGGAGAATTTCTGTTGCCTCAGTCGTGACAAGCCACACAGACATGCTGCCAGGCACCTTCAGACACATTTCTCTACCAACTAGGAGCATTTCAGGGGAGAAAAAAATGGCTCAGCTGCAGCCAGCAAGGCAGCATCTCTTCCCAAAACACAGCTAACAGCATGCACAGTGCCTGGCACAGCAGGTAAGACATCAGTCAAGGGAATAACAGCCTGAGGACTAAGCACCTGAAGGATGTTCCCCAAGCAACATCTACACTGATGGACTCCATGCTTGAGTATAATAAAGAGAGAGCCTAGTTTGGGGCTTCATCAGAGACTGAAAGGTCTCACCAGGAAAGGATCTAAGACTTTACTGTGCTCTACAGCTCCCTGACAGGAGCCTGGAGTGAGGTGGGGGTTGGGCTCTGCTCCCAAGGAACCAGCAATAGGACGAGAGGCAATGGGCTGAAGTTGCCCCAGGGGAGGTTTCAGTTGGATCTCAGGAAGAATTTCTCTCCTGGCAGAGTGGTGAGGCCTTGGCCCAGGCTGCCCAGGGAGGTGGGGGAGTCCCCAGCCCTGGAGGGGTTCAAAACACGTGTGGAGGTGGCACCTGGGGACATGGTTTAGTGGCCATGGGAGTGTTGGGTTGATGGTTGACTTGATGATCTCAGAGGTCTTCTCTAACATTATTGATTCTATGATTTTAAGCAGCACAGACCTGTAACTAGTGAGGTGAATTTTACCTCTTGTAATCCCAGGTATCCACGTATGATCTCATTCCCTGTGTTTCCTTCTCAGTTAATGGAGCCCAGATGACAGGAACCTCCTCCCAGAGTAGCTGCCCACGCTCTGGACTCACCCAGCAAACTATTTCCTAACCAGCCAGTTCCACCACAGAAAACCAAACTGCTGACAGCCCCACGAGTCCCAAACTCCCTGGAGCTCAGGCCAGCAGACAGTTACTCCACACACAAAAATGACTCTAAATGACTTATTACCATTTAGGAAAGCCACTGGATCCAGTCGCTGTGGCAGGTTCTGTGAAACCTCAGCTCAGTGCTAAACCTTACTCCAAATGCACCACTCAGACATTTTTAGAATGAGAAAAGAGTAAAACAGAAGTTGCTGCTTTAGCATCTGAGCACAGGGAGCTCTTTAGGACACTGTACCACCCCAGCCATTTCAAACAGGACTTCAACTACATCACTGAGCTGCAGAAACCAAAGGGAAGCAAAGGGCATGGTTGGAAATATGGAATAACTGCCCTAAACAGACTCTTGGTAAATTGATGGGAGGCTAAGCAGAGAGCTCTGAACAATTGTGGATGGTGTAGAGGGGAGGAGGGGGGAAATGATGCTTCTCAAAACAAACCTAGGGAGCACCATGTGAATTATCAAGCACCAGCTGCAAACTGGACAGAAGGATGTTGCTGAACTTAACCAAACACAACCCTCAGCTAAAGCTTCCCAAGGCTCAAAAGCCACAGGACGAGTTGATCGAGTTCATACAATTTTCAGGGATCCCTGTTTGGATCCACGTTCAGGACCCTGCACCACCAACACCTGAAGGGAACTCCTGTGAGCAGATGGCTCCTCTGCAAAACAGGCCTTGAGATTTTTTAACAGCTCCCCCCAGACCATGCTGCTGTTTGCTCCAGGAGCAGCTATGTGCTTCAACTTGCCACCTTTCAACCTGACCCTCTGGAAAACCTGCTACTGTACAACAAGCCTAATCTCTGCTGTACCAATTACTGAAAGAAAATGAAGTGTCAGGAGGCCCTTGTACTTTTCAGAGTCTCAGGCAACTTGTTCAGCAAACAAGTGGAAAAGGTCTGAGTCAGAAATGTTCTGCCCTGGGGGTTCCCAGGGAAGCACGAAAAGCCATGGAGCCCAAGTGGAGAAGCTGCCCTCACCCAGCTGCTCCAGGCTGGCCACACACGGGCTGCTGGACTGCCCCTGCTTTCAGAAACACTCACTTCCCTGGTCCCTGCATGCAACAGCAGCCTTGCAAAGGCAACGTGCCAGTGCCCAGCCCACCAAAGATCAGGGTTCAAGCTGAACTTCCAAAAATCAGAAACAACAGGAGAGCAACTACCACGTAAGGAGGAACTTGGCTTTTCAGCCACTGAAGGTCATTCGGTGTCAGACTCATCACCCAGATACTTCTCAGCCTCGTGGTTCCACCAACAGAGATCTGGAGATGCAGCATGTCACCCCCAGTCCGGGTTCCTGCTGCCCAGTTTTAGTGCCCCAGTCTGGAGCCTGAGCCCCTTCCACGCTGCTGGAAGGGTTCCCAGTCGAGAGGTGTGTGTCCTGCCCTGGGATAACCCCAGATCCCACCTCTGCTGCAGGGGTTTTACCTGAACCCAGGCTATCATCATGCAGAGAGCTATGGGACTCCACGAGCAGAAGAGGAATTAGGTTTAAACAACAGCATTTTCAAACATTAGGAGATTTGATTCTTCCCACTCAGTATTCGCTTCCTAACGGGCACCACATTATTGCATTGACTACTGAAGACAAAGTAGAACCAAAAGAATTACACAAACTCTGCTACAAGCAACTGGAGCCTCAACACATCAGTGGAGCCTCGAATGAGAGAGTTTCAGCAAATCTGGCCAGCCCTGGGCACGGGCAGAAGAGGGGAACTGGAATTCTGCTCCACGCCAGTGCTGGTGGCTACCCAAGTGCCTTTGTCGGTAGCTGTTCACTCAGCTTCACACCCCTGTATCTGTGCCTGTGTTTTGGAGGATCAACAACTCTTCACACGTCAGGGGAGGAAGCAGCTCCCCAGGTTTCCAAGCACAGAGGTAACGTCCCTGTTGATCAGAGCTGCTCCCAGCTCCCCCCAAGGGACGTGGAATCAGGAACACATCTGGGCTTATATCAAACGAGGAGATTATTCCTCCCTTTCCCCACCAGCTCTCATAAATGTGCCAAAGCCCCCGATGGCCTGAGCAGGAAGGGGCTGGGGGCCTCTGGGAGCAGTGGAAGGCTCCAGGGGAGTGCTGGAGAGCACCTCACCACGCCAGGCGCTTCCCAGCGGCCGGCTCGGCCCCCGGGCTGATTGTCAGCTTCTCAGAGGAACCAGCAGGGAAGCACATGTGAAACCTCCGTGGGGCTGCTGAGTGTCTCCAGGCCCTGTGTGACTCTGCATGTAGATGAAGCAGCTTCGGCTTTCGGAGCTGCTGCTGCTTAGTTCTCAGAGGAGTCCTTTTCTCCCGCTTGGCTCCCTGCTGCGAGAGCCCTTTTCAGTCTTTCTATCCCCCCCAGTCTCTTCTCCTGCACAACACAGGCAAGCTTGATTGAAATAAAGACCCAAGAGAACATGGTTTATTTTCTTCTCTTCAATCCATTTCAGAAAAGATTTTTAATTGGTTCAGAAAGAGATGCCAAACAAAACGCAACGTTTCTCAGTCCTCTGGGGCTGGGAGTAATGGGCACCACTGTTCAGCAGTGCTGGGTGGAACTAGCACGAGCTGTGATTGGGAATTTTAAGTAAACTCAGATGTTTCCACTTTCTTTAAGGACTAATGTGTTTACTCGTAAAACTTCTGCAAAGTACAAAGAAGCCAGAAATCCCAGAAACCCAAAAGCTTGACCTAATTGCCCTCCCCACACCACGTTAAAACAGCAGCACCTCAGCAGGCAGAGGGGAGTCTGGGAGGCAGCCTCACAGGCCAGCTCAGCTCAGCCCTCCACCTCAGTGCAGAGCTGATCAGGTTCCACCCCTGACGTGCTGCCCTTGCCCACGGAGCCTGCAGGAACTGTGGGGAGCTGCCTGCACAGGGTGCCCTCCCCGCCAGGGCAGCGAGCAGCCCTGTGAACACAGGGCCTGGCTCCACGGCAGGAGCCCGCCCTGCTGCTCCCCTCCTTGTCCTGCCCTCACCAGGGGGCTCTGCACCCCCCTTGCCAACCTTCTCAGCTCTGCTCCACACTTCAGGCCCCCCTGGCTGGCGAGGAGCCCGTTGATGCCAACGCAGGCCCAAGGATTTCTCTCAGCAAAGGGCCGTGTCTGGTGCGCCCCACGATGCTCCATTTTCACCAAGAATGAACCTAAACTGTGGGTCCAATCCCACAGAAATTTGTGTTGGTTTGGAGCAGGTTGAGTCATCTCAGAGGGAACTTGGAAGGGCACTGATTAACTCCAGCATCATCTCCCATGTGGGTTTCTCACTGGAGCTTAGAAACCCCAAGAGTCTCCACATCCACATTTAATCTTCTTCACTGTAAGCATTCACAGCAGAAGAGGATTTTTCCTGCACAACTCTACCTCTTATATTCTGTTTCTGCTTTTTTAATGACTAAAATCACCTTATGCCATGACTATCAGAGGGAACTCACAAGAAATGAACACTGCAGGAAGAAGCCCATCAGCAGAACTGCCAAATTAGGTCAGCCCGTAGGGGCCGTCTAACCCGACGTCCTCGTTTCCACAGGAGCCAATGGTGGACACTCAGAGTTAAAAAAAAAGAACAAAACCCTCCAACACCATCAATCAAACAGTGACATTTCCTCAGAAATCTCTCTCTCTCTGCCCTCCAACAATTTATGGCTTAAGTCACCATAATATTGGCTGTCAACCCAAAGTCTTCCAGCCTCAAGGGCATTTCAAACACTGCAAAGTACAAATCTCGAGCAACATGCATAAACTTGGCAAATATCTGAGAGTTCCCAGCCCTGCATCCTGCTCTCAGGGAGGCTTGGGTGCCACCAAAAGTGCACCTGAGCAGCAAAACACCGTCAGAGGATGCAGTGATAGAATGGCCAGTTTCAGATTTAAGTTCTTTCAGCAACTGAAGCAAATCAAGTTCTCTCTGCCCCAGTTGATTTGTGGGACCAATCGTGTCCTGGGACTGTGGAAATACCCAGCAAGAGTGAACGACTCCATGAGATGATGGTGATCAGCAGGGGTTGTGCTGCTGCACACAGGAGGCCTCTGGGTTCCACCACATGTGGTAACAGAATCCAAGCTTCACCTCAGAGACCCTCCATGGCATAGAGAACTCACTGGGAAAAACCTTTGTTCTCCCAGGCTGGCAGTCACAGGGGGAACTGCAGGGCCTGTGGAATTACAGTTTAGCTCAAAGTGCTGTATTGGAAAGGTCTTTTCACCAAACCCTCTAATGAAAACACTCATCTGCACGTCACCATTTCCAGGATATTAAAAATGACCAAAAAATTTAGTGAACCCAGGCTGTGCTTCTCTGCCTTTTCCTGACACCAGCTTTCAAGGTTTTGCTGTTTGTTATTTATCCATGCAGACACTTCACACACAGAGCACAATTCCAGTGAACGACAGGAAAAATGGCACACAAAATAAAGAAGAGTCCCCCCTTGTTTGTCTCCTCAGTGCCAGCTTCAGAACCAGTCTCATTTCTGGTGTTCCCAAATCTCATCGAGCCAGAAAGTGCAAATAGACACAATCAGAATGAGATGTAAGATCTTCAGCTCTCCTCACCCATGGTCATTAACACCTGACCACTTCAAGTTAAGAACAAATTAAAACCTTGACATCTGCAATCATATGTTAATCAGAAGCTGATTTTTAACTAAGGAGGGAGCACGTGGCTGAGCCAGGGGTTGATTTGGGCTGGAGAGTTCTGTGGTTCATCAGAAAGCAGACAGCCACATGTTTGAGCTTTACATGGTGAAGGTTAAACGTGTTTCCTTAGCATTTCTGGGGCTAGCTGCTGAAGATTCAGCCTTAAGTAATTAGATAATTGAAGCTGAATCCTTTGTGGCTACCCCAGAAATGTCGAAGTGAATGAACAGCAGCAGGCTGGGATTAACTTGACTGGATCCCAGACAATAGCACTAATACCTCTGGCAGCACAGCAGCTCTCAGCAAGGCACAAAGCTCTCCACTGTCAAAATTATCCCAGGCCCAGGGCACCTCACCCCTCCACCACATTCCTACCTGAGGGGGGGCCTTCTTCAGCAGCACGAGCAGGGCTTGCAGCACCAGATTAGAGAACCGTGGTCCGATGGGGACATAATCTGCAATGAACAATGCATTTTAGTGCCCACTCAGCACATGCACGTTTAAGCCACTTCACTGTCTCAAAGCCAGCTCAAGGCTCTCACAGTAAATGGTTCCAGGTCACTTCCAGTTTGCAGTACTTCAAATATTTCAGTGTTTCTGCACAGCACACAACAGGGCTCCCTCTCAGCACCCTGACTCACCTAGGAGCCTCTCGATGTCGTCCACCACAACGCAGCTGAGCTGGGACTTGTAGGCATCATCAAAGATCTGAAAAGCAGCAAAGTGACTTGTCAAATCCCAGCAGCCAAACTACAACAGTCACAGTAGGACCTGTTGGCATGTCTTTAGCTAACAACAAGAGGCAATGGGCTGAAGTTGCCCCACAGGAGGTTTCAGTTGGATCTCAGGAAGAATTTCTCTCCTGGCAGAGTGGTGAGGCCTTGGCCCAGGCTGCCCAGGGAGGTGGGGGAGTCCCCAGCCCTGGAGGGGTTCAGAACACGTGTGGAGGTGGCACCTGGGGACATGGTTTAGTGGCCATGGGAGTGTTGGGTCAGTGGTTGGTTCTTGATGATCTTAGAGATCTTTTCCAACCTTAACAATTCTGTGATTCTAACCACAGCAGCAGTTAGAGGAATGCAGAGAATGGAAGTACCAAGAGACCAGACCCCCCCTGCACTCAGTAACACTCCCATCTCAGCAACCTGAGAGCTCAGTCCTGCCCACCTGCCCCAAACACTCTGCAGCAGAGACACGTGCCCCCATTTCACTGTCAGCAAGGGACAGAGAGAGCTGCCCTCCTTTGTTCTGTGGAGCTGGGGCACTGCAGCAACACTCCCACCCCCCTGCTGTACCTCAGCTCCAAGCTGTCCTAGCCAGGCTGGGTGCTGGGTGCTGCTGGTGACCTCTCACTGCAGGCAGCACAGACCTACTGAGGTGCACAGAGCAGCAAACAGTGCCCTGCAGGGTTTGGGATGCAAGCAGTGAGTAGCTCTGAGGACAGCAGTGGTACCAGACCTGCCTCCAGCACACACTGATCCAAGTGAAGTCCAAATGGCTCCTTTTAGAACCTCAGTTACAACCTGGGCTTCCAGCTATGAGCACACTGCTTCTCCTGGCAGCTACACACCCCTACCCCAAACTGACCTGGGGGTAACACTCAGCTCCATCCCTCCTAGCAGCTACACACCCCTACCCCAAACTGACCTGGGGGTAACACTCAGCTCTGTGCCTCACTCAGTGTCATTCACCCAAAGAGTCAGTGCTGGCTCATTTCAGCAGAGGAAACCCCCTCCTCCCCACCTGCCTGCTTGCAATGATTTAAGATGGTCAATCTGCTCCCCAAGTTGTTAAAACTCTTCCTCTAGTTAAACATCACCAGCTCCAAAACATTCCTCATCTCATCCAGGCAGGACCCATCCTTTCCAGTGGGAGCCAAGCCCTCCCAGCCTCCAGCTCTGCAGGGACTGGCTCAGAGCATGATCACCTACCACACTGGAGCAGGACAGGCTCTTGAGGTGTTCCCAGAGTCACTCAGAGTCAGTGCCACATAAACATTCATTCAACTTTACAAATACATGCACAGCAATTTAGAGAGCAGCAAACACCATCACAAGGGTCATTCACTTCTCCATCTACTAGAGAATTTAGGATTGGGTCGTAACCAAGCACAGGAGCAGGAGGTGTAAGTACCTTCTTCATAGCCTGGCACTTGGCTGTTTCAGAAAATCCAATCATCTTATCAGGAGAACAGATCTTGATAAAGGGGAAGTTGGATTCTTCTGCTATTTTTGCTGCTAAAGCAGTCTTCCCACTGTGGGGGGGACCTGAAACAAAGGACAAAGAGAATGAAAAACCAAGGGAGAAAAGAGCCCTGGTAAGGCTCAGCACAGAGGGTATTTTGGGCACGTTTATCCCATATCTGCATTTTGAAATGACCTTTTCTTCTGCTTGCAGAAGGAACACACTCACTCCTGGTGCAATCCAGCCCTCCAGGTGAAGGAAATGACACAGCTACCTGAGCACACCCAGTCAGATTGGCCAGGAACCCAACTCAAAGGAGGATGTTACCAAAAAGGTAAAAAAAAACCACACCAAAATATACCAAAATGAGCACGTGTTTGTGTTCTGGAGAAACTTTTTAAACTATGTTTATGCCCCTTCTAAATATTATCTCTGCAGGGACTGTGGTAAACAAGGCTATAGCCTGAGTGCCAGGTAAATACTGACAAAGCCCATTTGTTCTTTGCCTGAATTCACACCAGAATAAGCCAAGGAGAGACCAGAGACACACCTGAACCTGTGCACCCAGCAGGAACCACTCTGGAGTGCTAGGAGGGGTTGCACACAAGTGATCTGTTGGCCACAAGCTCCCAGAGATACTCAGGGGATCCATCCAAGGGTCATTTCAAACTACAGGCCTCTGAGCAATAGTGGTAAGCCACATTATTTTACTTCAGGAAAAGAAGGAGGGAAGTTGTAAATAAATTCTGCTCCAATATCTGTAACCTGGATGCTGGACTCAGTTTCCTGGACTCTTCATGGTCACGAAGAGTCTAGACTGAGGGTAATCCACCTCTGTCTAACAGCAGACACCAAATGTGGCCAGACTGTCCTGGTTGGAGCTAGAACAGAATTAATTCTGTTCAGGGACTTTTCAGCTCAGCCTCTTCCAAGCCATGGCACTTTCTGAAGTCAGCAGCAGAATTTTGCAGACAGTCTCTGCTGGGGTGTGCAGAAAGGCTCTTGCTTAGACCTGCTGCTGTGCAGAGCAAGGTCACTGCTCAATCTTGTGCACCACACTGAGGTGCAGAAAGCAAAAGGCCAAACTTGTGAGGAGAACCAGAGAGGACAGGTGACCCCAGACTGCCCAACCCACCCCATGAACATCACAGTCCAAAGCTGAGGGATCACACGGGTCATGCCTCTTGTTCCAAGGGCAGCATTTGAGGAGGACTCTGTCTGTTCTGCCTTTGATCCCAATCCATGTGCTCCTGAACCCAGCTCCTGAATCAGGTTCCCATCTGCCACCAAGTCCCATCTGGGACTCCCCCAGTGCCTGCCCCACAGGATCAGCAGTGAGGGGGTGGAACAGCCAGGCAGGGGTGTGGGTTCCACCCTGGGTTTGTGTACACCTGTACACAGTTCATTTTACTATTACTGTTTTTGTTAGAGCTGTTTTAGTTTGCTTTTCCAACCCAGCAGTCTCTCCCCCTTGTTCCCTTGTCTCCTCCCCTTTGGGAGGGCAGGGGGGTAGCAGAGAGCTGCTGCCATTTCTCTGGTGTCTGGCCCAGCCCTCACCCTGGACACGGGTGAACTGGTGTTTGAGCTCAGCCCACCAGGCTGCTGAGCTCTCTAGTGACTTCAGAGAGAATTCAGACAGCTAACCCAGCTAGAGGTGTTCCTGCTGCACCCCACCCACAGCCAGGTTATCAGCTGGGGACAGCCACTTCTCTGTTGCTCCAAGAACACATTTCTCCAGGGCTGAGATTTAATATCTAAAAATAGATCCAGTTTTAACATCTAAAGCAACTTCACCCAAGTGAACTGCAAGAGACCCATTCTGGTTTTCCTCCTGGGTGTTTCTTTTATGGACAGGCCATGGACAGAAGAGTTCACAGAAGTCACCTGGGGTTTTTTATTTGTATTTTCTTCTAAAGTTTACCTTCCAGAAGAACGCTGACCAAAGGAGTGCGGTCACTGTTCTTAGTCTGCTGAACAAGCAGCTCCCCATCATCCAGCACCCTGGTCACTGGGTCACCCCACTTAATAATCCCATTCATGATGTAGCTTGCATAGTCTTCCTGGTTGGTTCCAAACGCCTGTGGGAAGAGAGGGCAAGTTCACTGGACTCAGAAAGTTTGCATCACACCACAAAAACATGAAACGACTGAACACGACCAGGATGAAGACTCTGGAAGATGATTAAATGAGACAGTCAGTGGTGGAAGGGCCCCTGGTGACACACAACATCTCAGTTCAAAGGACTGAATGCAGCTGGAGACCAGGGACAGCCAGAAACATCTTTTCATATACCCTCAAAACAATTCCTAACCAGTGCAAGTTGCCAGTGGGTGCTGAATTCACACCATTTAAAGACAATTCTCAAAAATGAGGCTTTAACCTCCTACTACTGCCCACATTACAGCTGGCATCCCTCAGCTGAAGGAGCCAGAAGGAAGAGCACACAGAAAAGGAGAAATCCCAAGTTGCTCTTTATTTGTTCTGCTCCTTTTCACTGCTCCCTGCTGTCCCCCCTGCAGCCTGGGGTGCAGGATGCCAGCCCCTGGTGCACCACCCACTGTCCCCCCAGGAGGAGCTGCCCCCTCGTGTCCTGCCCTGCCCCAGGTCACCACTCCAGAGGGACAGGTGCCCACTCACCGGTTTGATATCATTCTCCAGAGATGCAAAGAAGTCTCCTCTGGTCACACGTAAGCTCTCTGCCTTCTCCATGTCCACTTCCACCTTGGTGCTGGCCTATGAAGGCAATGAAGGACACTGAGGAGCAGCAGTGCTGCACACAGCCCCCCACCAACAACCCCCCAGGGGTCCCACCCTGCCCTCAGCCTGGGACACTCAGGAAAATGCTCCTGCCCAGGACATTTATTGGACATAGGCTGGAAACCCTTGGAGCAATCACCATCTCCACAGAGCTGCATCCACAGGCCAGCCCCCACTGGGTGGAAAGCTGAGGTGAAGAGTCTGGCCCTGACCCCAAGCTCCAGGTGCCACCCAGCCAAGAGCAGGATGAAGGCTCTGCACCACCCTCCTCACTGCTGGGCCACCTCCACTATGGAAACCAAGCATCAGTCAGGCTCACACTGCTGCCCAGGAGGGGACTCACCTCACTGAGGTTTCAATTTATAGTTCTTGGAATTATGTAGGTCCCCTGTAGAGCAGGGAAACTCTTTGCTACCCTTGGGCAGCAAAGGATGGGAAGGAGATGAAGCCTCCTTCACTGCGTCACTTTTTTCAGGACAAATTCAAGTTGTGTTTCACCCAACCCTGAGTCTACCCACACCACCTTTTTTGGCAAAGAAGCCAGAAATAAGGATTATCCCCAGCCCCTTGTTTCAGCAGTCTGAGGTCCCTGCCCAGACCATGCTCCCTTTGAAAGGAGGACACCACCTCCCCCTTCTGCCTCTCCCACAGCACCCAGCAATGCTCCAGGCTGGGAGCAGATACCCAGCAGAGACAGCACCACTGGGACCTTCTCCAGTCAGCCATGCCTCAACCACAACCAGCAGGTGCCCAAAGCTGCTCACCCTGGAGCCAGGAGAGGTTTTTAACTCTTGGGAGCAGCCTTTAAAGATGGAGATTTATTCAGATGTCCCTGGACCTTAAAGCCAGCTGCAGATGTATTACTGGCTGTGGCTGCAGCTCCATGGCCCAGGGTTATTTAGGGACCTGCAAGAACCTTGACAGCTCGGGCAGCAATCAGGAATTAAACATTTAATTAGAGAATCCCAGGTTGAAGGGACCTCAAGGACCACCTGGTCCAACCTTCCTTGGAAAAGCCTGCTCTAGCCAAGCTGGCCCAGCAGCCTGTCCAGCTCAGCCTGAACCATCCCCAGTGCTGGAGACTCCACCACTTCCTCAGGGAGACTCTCCCCATGGCTGGCTGTCCCTGCTGTGACAAATGTTCCTCTGGTGTCCAGCTGGAATCTCCCCAGAGGTAACTTCTCCCCATTGCCCCTCATCATTTCCACGGGTCTCCTCATAAAAAGGAGTCTCCAGCTTCTCTGTAGCCACCCTTGAAATACTGGGAGATGGTGGCAAGGTCTCCCCTGAGCTTTCTTTTCTCCAGGCTGAACAAACCTCCTTCTCTCAGCCCCCCCTTACTGATCAGTTTCCCAGTCCTTGGGATGATTCTTGGTGGCCCTTCTCTGGCCCCTCTCCAGCCTGTCCACAGCCTTTCTGGGCAGTGGTGACCAAGACTGAACACAGAACTCCAGGTGTGGCCTGACCAGTGCTGAGCAGAGTGGGACAATGGCTCCTCACCTCTGCTGCTGCTGCCCTCGTTGAGGACCCAGCACCCCCTTGGTTTCTTTGCCCCAGCAGCAGACACCATTCACTCCCACTGAGCTTGTTGTCCACCAGGACCCCCAGGGCCCTTTCCACGGAGCTCCACTCCAGGTGGGTAGATCCCAGCACGTGCTGTACTCCTGGATTAGGTTTTCCCAGGTGCAAGACCTTACACTGGTCCTTGCTGAACCCCATCAGGCCCTCGTTAGCCCACTCCTCCAGCCCCTCCAGCTCTTCCTGCAGGGGGACTCTCCCTTCCCAGGTGTCCACTTCCCCACCCAGTTTGGTAGCACTGGCCAACTCCATCAGGGTACCCTTGATCCCCTCACCCAGATCACTTCTGAAGATACTAAACAGGGCTGGGCCAGTGTCAGTCCCTGGGGGACCCCTCTGGACAGGCTGCCAGTTTGGAAAGGAGCCACTGCCCTGCCAGCCAGCTCCCACCCTGCACACTGACCACTCCTCCAGACCACAGAAACACACTGAGAGCCTTGGAGAAACCCAGGCAGACCATGTCCACCTCCCACCTCTAACGACACACCAACACCAGCTACTCCACACTAATCAGAGTGCTTTGGGTTGGAAGGGACCTCTAAAGGCCATCCAGAGCCACCCCCTGCAGCAATCCTGCAGGTGCAGCCTGCTGGGGACCTGCTGAGGAACTGAGAGACACCAGGAGGAGGACCAGGCACACGAGGGGGCAGAAGCTGCTCTGGGAAAAGCAATCCATCTAACTTTAACTGGGAAGGCAGAAACCTATTTGCAAGTAGCAGAGAGATGAGGCAAAAGCTCTTTATTCTTTCCACCAGCAGCCAGGAAGCTAAAATCTGGGATTTCAGGGGGTTTCTTGGAAGGCACAGCAACCACTGTCACCTTTGCGTAAGACTAAGGTGGTGGACAAGCCAAACAGCTTCAGCCCTCACAGCCATGTCTCAGAGACACCCTCTTCTGCCTGGGAGGAGCTGCAAGAACAAGGAGCACGCTTGGGGAGGAAAAAGGAGAATGAAAACACTCCCACAGTGCTTGTCCTGTAGGGTAGTGAAATGCAGCCTCAGAACAGCAACCTCAGGGACCCAGCCTGGCCACTGCCCCAGTGCAGGAACTCCAGCCAGGGGGTGGCTGGAGCCCCTTCCCCACCAAAGAGCCCACCCTGGGGGACCCTCCGCACGGCCTGAGCTCTTCTGCTTCACAGAGGGAAGTGACAGCACTTGACACACTGGTAATATATTCCTGAAGTTGTTTGCAGACCTCAAAACAGGAGGGGCTCTTTCTTTCCTAGCCTTTAATTTAGACCTTTTGATTTTTAACACACACACACACACAGACACTGAGAGATGATGAGCAGAGTGAAGGCTGCAGAAGAACAGTGCCCCTCCAACACCAACCTCTGCTCCTGCTTCTCACAGGTCCTTCCAAAAACTAGGTGAGGCCTGGGATGTATATTTTACATTTTGCAGTGCTCAGAGGAGAGAATAAAACACCTGAGTGCATCATTTGGCTGAAGGCATCTTCAGAACAAACACTATTATCCAAAAACACTACCTCAAAGTGCTTGAGAGGAGACCCACAGCGTGGCTGCCTCACTTGAGAGTGCACAGACACGTGTTGTGAAGGTGTCAGTCACAGGCCAGGCTGCAGGAGGGGGCTGCTCCTTTACAGCTAGGAAGCTCTGTCTTCTCTCCTCCCTCTGTGACACTTTGGGCACAGCAGGGAATACATTGAAACACTAACGGGCCCCCAACGCCCCCAGAATTCAAGTACTGAAAAAGCAAAAGCCACCAACTAGGAGCAAAATTCATTATTGAAGGAAAATGTTTTGCATGTGAAGGGCTGAAAATACCACCAGAGGTGCTGGGGGGGTTTTGAGGCAGAACACAAAAAAATGAGAATCTGTTGATGTTTCTCAGGGGTTTTTTTTGCAGCTGGATTAACAGAACCTGGCAGCTCATGGTCCTCAGCTCCCTTCTAGTTCAAGATCCACTGATCCCCCATGATCTGCAAACACTGGGAAATCAAGGCAGTGTTCCCCTGGAGGGGAGGGACCTGAGGACATCACCAGTCTCTGTGACACTGAGACTACCACAGAACCACAGAGTCATTTACCCCATCCCTGCCAGGTCCCCACTGCCCCGTGTCCCTCACACCACATCTCCACGGCTTGGGAACCCCTCCAGGGGTGGGGACTCCACCACTGCCCTGGGCAGGTTCTTCCAATGCTTGACAATCCTTCTGGGGAAGAAGTTTTTCCTAATATCCAACCTCAACCTCCCCTGGGGCAACCTGAGTCCATTTCCTCTTGTCCTGTCCCTTGTTCCTTGGGAGCAGAGCCTGACCCCCCCCTGGCTCCAGGCTCCTGTCAGGAGCTGTGCAGAGCCAGAAGGTCTCCCCTGAGCCTCCTTTGCTCCAGGCTCA